GCAAGTTGTTGCTAATTTTGTATTCTGGTATTTTAACTTGGTATTTTTTACTTTGGTAACAACTTATGCCGTTAGTCGGGTACCGATAATATGTTTTTTTTGGTAGTTTAATTTGGTTTTAACTATGGTTTTGTAATCGTGTACTGCAATTTGGTACCGCTAGTTTAGTCCCGCGTCTGGTGCCAATAGTTTGGCAATTCATTAGGGTATTCATATTTGCTGCTGCTATTATGTTTTTTTTTGCTTTTGTACTGCTAATCTAAAATGTTGTGTTTGATTTTATGTGTATTGCCTTTGGTGCACTATACTGTACTTAAACTTTGTAGTTTGTGCCGATACTTGAATATGTTAGTTTGATATTCTAACGCTAATCTGGTACAGCTAATTTGTATTTGTAAGTTGATTTGTTTGGACATTTTACTTTCAATCTAGGCATTCTTTTTTAACGACAGAACGCAACACTTATGCAGAGGTGGTTTCTGGTTTAGGGAGGGTTCTTCAATATTCAAAGCAGAAATATACGGGCATTGGAATGAACAATATTTTTCGCTAATCCTTGCCCTCACCCGGGGGGGGGGAATGCCGTTTTTTGCCAAGTCGGGTGCGGACAAGGACCGAATTACCTCTATTGCATCGGTGGTGGGGGCTTCTCGGAATCGCTAATCAAAAATGGTGCTGCACGATCCTGAGTTTGCCTACCTCGCTGATGCCTGACTTCGCTGATTTGGAGGTGTTTTGGCCTCCTCCTTCTCTTCCTCTCCTCCTTATCTGTTTATGCTTCCGACCGAAATTGTCCCTGGACTCATTTGGAGCGCGCGTGTCCTTCTTTTCTTTCTCCTCTTTTACGTTGTTCAGCTGACTTGCGGCGCCGCGTATTTTACCTTATTCGGCTTGTTTGTGTCTCCAGAAATGTGTTCTGCTGTTTAGACGCAAAAAATAAGTATTTACTTTGCTTCTTTAATTTTCAGTCGCTGATATGACAAATTTGTGGCGTAATGTAATCTCACAAGCCTTGTGGGCGTCGGTGGTTTAGAATTCCTCTTTCACCCCTCCTTCGCACCCCTTTCGGGGAAAAATTTACCCCCCTTCCTACCGCTTTCCGTGAACCCAAAGGAAGCGGGGCCACAACGTGTTCAAAAAACGCTGGCATGTCTGACATGCTTATGAAGATGGCCTTTTTAAAATTGGTGTACAACATGTCATGATGCGCGGAGGCTATGAGTTCAAATCGCCCAAATTGCAAATTTGTTAAATTGCCTTGCAAATTCGTTTCTAACAATCGTACACCCACAAAAGTTACAGATTTGAATCCCCATTAGGTGTCCTTTAGAATGGTAAAGTGTCTGAGCGTCCAGATCAAGAGGGCTCCAAAACGCGTCCAGGAGGCCTGAATAAGCGCTTGAGAGGCCTCCAAGAGTGCCCCAAGAGAACCCCGAGAGGTTCCAAGGAGCTCTCCAAGGCAGCCAGGACGCTCTACGAGGCGTCTGGTACCGCCAAGAGGCTCCTAAGACGCGCCAAGAACCCTCCACTGGAGAATTCTTCCTCTTTGTGGTGCCCGCTTCCTTGATCGAGACAATTCTTTTGGCCATCGTTTCTAGATCAACTGGTGGGGATTCGCAAAGCGTCAGCAATTTGGTTTTCCAAGGTGGTAGTTGTAACATTGCAATGGTTTTGTAATTTGGTGTTATGATTTGGTACCGCTATTTTAGAGTGTCTGTTTTTGAACATAATACAAAAAAAACACCCGCAATATGGACATGCCATACATAATTACAGAACAATGTCTGGGCATTGAACTCCACTCAATGCGAGCGGCATGGCTCTATCATTGCGCGGTTCCGCGGCTAAACCATGTCTTGCGTACCCTTCCGCCAACACATACCCGTATTGTACTTCTAACGAACGAAATGCGCGTTGAACCGTGTAAAATCCATAAGTATAATGATCTTACGCAAGGAAGCAGCCGACGCCAGAATCATGGAACACAAATCTTGCACCTATTTGTGAATCTCCGTCCGGGTCGGGCGCCCGCAAGGCTTGCCAGGTGGAGCGCCCCAGTCGCCAACACAAAGATTCGTAGCATTTCGAGCTGGGATTTCTGCTGGGGCCACTACACCAAGCGGCACAAAGGTGGGGCTGGAAAATTGGTTGATGTTGGTTGGCTAGACCCTGGTTCGATTGTTGTCGTGGCAGTCCGATAATGAGGGCACCCATCACCGAATATAGAAGACCTCGACCTAAATTCAGGGCGATTGGGCCGAACCCTGGTATACCACAGCATTTCGGCAATATCCCGGCGCAAATCAGTGTGGGGCGTCTGTGGTAAACTTGCAATGTAAGCCGTGGTGCCCCGTGTAGTTTCAGATGCTCCCGCCCAAAATGATGAAGTGCCCCAGCCGCCCCAGTCCGCATGGGTGACACAGTAATCCCACCAGCCCTCTGGGCGTCGGTGGTTTAGGGAGTTTCCTCTTCCACCCCTCCTTCTTCCCCTTCGGGGAGGGGTTTACCCCTCCCCCTCCCCCCTCCCCATAGACCTGGACAGGGGGTTTCGCGAGGTGTCGGAGCGTCCAAGACAGCCTTGGCGAGGAAGCCAAAATCATTGGTTTTACGAGGGTCTTGGCCCCATTTTGGCCTCCTGAGGGGTGGGCCCTAATTAGTCCCCCCACCTTCTGTGATCGATCTCACCCAAGATGGCCCAAAGATGGCCCCCAAGGCTCCCAAGGGTGCCGCAAGAGGGCCCCAAGAGGTGGCAGGAAGCCCCAAGAGGCCCCCAGGATGCCCCCAAGAGGCTCCCAAGAGACTCCCCCAAGAGGCCCCAAGAGACCCCCCAGAGGCACCCAAGATGCTACAAGAGCCCCGGCGAGAATGCCAAATCATTGATTTACTAAGGTTTTAGCCACATGTTGGCCTCTTGGGGGGGCACTGATTAAGATGACTCCAAGAGCGCCTGGGAGAGCCCAATATGACCTCCAAGATGGCTCAAGATATCCCAAGATGTCTCATAATAGCTCCCACGATGCTCCAAGATGCCCCAAGACCGCTCCAAGACGGCTCCAAGTGGCCAAAGAGCTCCCCCCAGGAGGCCCCGAAGAGGCCAAAACCTTAGGAAATTCTAGGTGTATGGCTTTCTCGCCTTTTCGCTTCCGATGGCCATCCGAGGCCTCAAGATGGCTCCGAGATGGTCCAAGAGGGCTCCAAGAGAGGCTCCAGAGAGCCCCAAGACGGCCCCAAGAGCGCCTAAGAGCGCTCCAAGAGCGCTCCAAGAGGCGATTGTTTTGGCTCCCGAGGGGCAGCGCTAACTAATGCTCGCTTCTTGTTTGATCGATGTTCCCCAAGATGGCCCCAAGAGCGCTCCCAAGGCTCCCAAGAGCGCTTCGAGAGGGCCCCAAGCGGCGCCCAGGAGGCCCCAACAGGAGCCCAAGAGGCCTCCAAGATGCTCCCAAGAGACCCCCAAGAGGCCCCGAGAAGCTCTCCGAGGCACCCAAGACGCTCCAAGAAGCCTCCACTGGGGGACCCTTCCTCTGTGAGCTGCCCACTTCCCTGATCGAGGCAATTCCTCTGGGCATCGTTTCTGGATGGGCTGGTGGGCTTACGAAGCGTTTAGAATGTTTGCAACCTTATTTGTCGTCACAATTGTCTGGAACAACGGTCGCAAGAAGGCGCATCGTAAGGAGGGGTAGAGAGAATTAGTTTGTCGGATGAGTATGTGGCGAGAGGTAGGTAAGACATAATGTAAGCAGTGAGTCAAAGGGAGATAGGTCCTGGGGAGCCCCATGTGGGAAATTTGGGGTCTCCTTGAACTTTTGCTTGGGGACACAAGCGGGCTCGCGGGAGGCCGCCTGGAACAATCTTGAAGCCCTTCTGAAGTACCGTATGCACCGCTTAGAGCTCTCTGTGGCGGCGACGCCCCTATCTGGGCCAGGATTGCAGCCGTTCGGGGCTGTAATGCGGGCCATACCTGCCCTGTTGAAGGAGCCGTCGTCAACTGCTGCGAACAATGAAGCGCACGGACATAATGAAGTGTATCATCCTGTGACGTACGAGTCTGCGGGTAGCCAACCATCAACAATGAGCCAATCGAAAAAAAATACGCCTATGACAGTGGTGTTGGAGCTGAACACCAGCGCGGTTATGTTGAGTGGTGCTGGAGCTCGAACTCCAAGAGTAGCAGACATGGTCATTACAAACATGTCGATTAGCAAAGCCTCAAACATAGCCGAACGAACGGGTCATGCTTATGCACAGCCGCATGTGCAAGCGCAAGGAACACTCAGGGGGAGCTTTCAGGGAATGAACGAATCAACATAGTATCGATTATCAGACACCGTCATGGAAGTCACGCGTGGAAAATGCACCGAGCGAGCCCGCTGTGGCCAACAATCTACGATATTGAAAGGCGGCTGTGCTCACAGTAGTCGCAGTGGCCCAAGACAGGCACGTGCGCCACCTCTCAGAGGCTAAGCTCGCAGAGGTCGAACCATGAATTGGCGGCCAGACGGGTTGCGTCATAGAGGACATGCTAGAAAACGATTGCTTCATAAACACATCCCGCTTGATGGTGAAACCCACAATGCTAGAGCATGTCGTGGTGGCCCGCGACTGGGAAGATACCAATGCGAGAGAACTCACGTTGATTGACGGCGAGGTGGTACACGCCAGGGTCTAACGCCGGGCGCACAAACAGGACGTCGGGGTAGAGGTCGTGCGGGTAGAAGCCGTCTTCGTACGTCCAAGAGCTCCGGCTCGTAGGCTAGTAGAACCCGAAAAGGGTGAAGACGCCACCGCCAGCGGCTACGATACACGCCCAATGGAAGTGGGTGCATGTGTCGCACTCCGAGGCTGTATACAGCATGGAGCCACACGGGCGCTGGAGAGACGGGGGTCAAGGAGAGAGCAGGGAGTGAGCGAAGAGGAGAGAGCAGGGAGGGAGCGAAGAGATCTGTGGCACGAGACGAGGAAGAAGCGTGATGGAATGATGGATATTCCGTGGGACTTTTTTT